CTGGTTCAAGGCATTTAAAAAAAACTCAACCCATTCATTAGCTGGCCACTAAGCTAACAAAAAGAAAGGTCAATAGATGCACATAAACACAGACATTAGACAATTACTCAAAAAAGTCATAAGCAGAAAGCAACAACAGCTCAACAGAGGAAAGAATCTGATTTCTAGATTTACTATATTATGTCATTTAAAATGTACATTTATCCCAAAAAATTTGTCAGACATGCGATTTGCTACAGAGCACATGTGCTCACTCAAGACAAACAGGGGTGAGGGTTGGTGGAGCAGAGAGAAAGTACACTCTAGAGGGGTTAGCCAATCCCTTCTCCTCTTGAGATTTTGGGCATGCATGTGCGTGGTGTGTTTTTCAAGCTGCCAGGTCTGGGAACTGACCTGTGAAGTCATTTATGTAGGATCCAGCCACCTTAACCACCATGCCCCTGGCTAGCCCAGCAATCATTTTCTTTACAAAATCAGAGAATAAATATTTTAGGACTGGCCGGTTATACAGGTCCTTTTGCAGTTATGAAATTTTGTCATCACAGCAGGAAAGCAGTGATAGACAATGCAGAAAAGAAAGAGCATAGCTATGGTCCAATAAAACTTTATTTACAAAAACAGGCAAAATAGTAGAGCAGATTTCATTCTAAGACAGTGTTTTGCCTACTCCTGCTTATTAGTAATGTGGTAAATTACACAGATTGACTGCTCCCTAGAATAAATGTGGTGTGATGTACAGTGATGTATGTCTTTTTGCATATTACTTGTTTCCATTCATTAGTATTTTAGAATTTTGCATACATGTTCATGAATGAAATTACCCTATAATTTTATTTTATACCATCTTCAGTTTGTTATCAAGGTTATGCTTCTTCATAAAACAAAACAAGTATAGGAGCAATTTCTTTATTATTTTCTTAAAGAATTTGTGTACACTTGGTATTACTTTCTTTTTCCTTTTTTTTTTTTAATTTTTTTAATAGCTATAGTGCACCCACTGGAGAAACAGAGAGAGACAGAAAGTGAGAAGTCACTCCCAGGGGGAATGATCACACCACAGTCCCTTCTCCTCCACCCTCCTCTTGGGATCTTGGACACATATGCACATGTGCCTGGCATGAGTTTCTTTTCCTTCTTTTTTTTTTTTAGAGAGGTTTTTGCTATAGTGTGCGTGTGTGCATCAGAGAGACAGAGACAGAGAGAGACAGAGAGACAGAAAGCTTAAGGGCATGCATGCATATGTGCCCGGCCTGAATTTAAGCCACCGGGTCCTGGACTTAAACTGCGGTCGACTACATAGCCACCATGGATTGGCTGGTTATACAGGTCCTTCTGCACTTATGAAATTTTGTCATCATAGGAGGAAAGCAGTGATAGACAATGCTGAAAAGAAAGAGCATAGCTATGATCCAATAAAACTTTATTTACAAAAACAGGCGAGTCCAGAGACATAGCCACTATGCCAACTTCTGGTCCCCACCCCGGCATGAGTTTCAAGCTTCGTGGTCTGGAATTCAAATCACAGTTAGACACGTGGGAATCCAGTACCTCAAGCACTGTACAACCTGCTGGCCCCATTGTTAGTTCTCTTTTAAATGTTTCATAGGATTCACAGGTAATGATGTCCTTAGATCATGGTTTATTTGTGGCAAGGCTTTTATTTATGAATGAACAGTTTTGGATATCAAGAGATTTTTTTTTTCCTTGTGTAAGTTTTTCTTCATTTATTTTTTTTTTTAAGAATTTGTCCATTTCATCTAAATTTTCTAATTTACTATCATGAAGTTACTCATAACTTCTTAATGTCATTAAGATCTATAATAATGCATCCTTATTGTTATTATATTATTTCTTTCTCTTTTCTTAATTAGTCTGCTAGTAATTTATTACTTTTACATCTTTTTTAATAGTTCAACTTTCCACTTTCTTTATACTCTCTCTTGTATACTTTTCATTTCATTAATTTTTATCTTTATTTTATTATTTTGTTTCTTCAACTTTATTTGGGTTTAACATACTTTTTTTTTTTTGGAGAGTTTTTTGTTATAGCGCGCGTGCGCTCGCCAGACAGACAGAGAGAGACATAGAGACAGAAAGCAAGAAATCACCCCCCAGGGGGGATGGCCACTCCACAATCCCTTCTCCTCCATTCTCCTCTCAGGATCTTGGGCATGCACGCACACGCACCCAGCGTGAGTTTTAAGCCACCAGGTCCAGGACGCAAACCACAGTCCACTACCTAGGAGTCCAGCGACATAGCCATTACACTAACTGCTGGTTCCCATAGCATACTATTTTTTTTTAACATAAAATTTTGACATCAATGCTTTGGCCTTTCTTCTTTTCAAATGCTTTCATTAAATGCTATCATTTTCCCCCTAATAATTATTTTGTCAGTATTACACAAGTTTTTATACATTTTTGGTTATTTATCTTCTAATTTTCAGTGTGAATTTTTCTTTGACTCTATTTCCACATTCATTTTTCGTGGGCTTGCCCATGACCCATGAAGTCACCTGTTTAGGATCCAGCTACCTTAACCAATAATTTTTTTATTGACCCAGCAATAATTTTTTTATTTTTTGGAGAGGTTTTTGCTATAGGGCGCGTGCATTCGCCAGAAAGACAGAGAGAGACAGAGAGACAGGAAGTGAGAAAATAACCCGGGGTGGGGGGTGATTTCTCCTCTTGGGATCTTGGGCACGCACACACATGGGCCCAGCATGATTTTAAGCCACTGGGTCCGGGACTCAAAACACAATCGACTACATGGGAGTTCAACGACATAGCCATTATGCTAACTGCTGGTCCCAGCAATAATTTTCTTTACAGGATTAGAGAATAAATACTTTAGGACTGGCAGATCGTACAGGTTCTGTGGCAATTATGAAATTTTCAAATATCTTCTAATTTTCACTGTGAATTTTTCTAGTGGTTAACCTAGTGGTTGAGAGCTGGTTCCCATATGGCCAACTGCGGTTCAAATCTCAGTCCCAGTGGGTTGAAAATCACACTGGGCATGTGTGTTCCAAGTAAGACAAGATGGAGAAACAGCAGAGAAGGAATTGTAATACAACCAAGCCATCCCTGGGAGGAGTGTGCCCTGCCTTAACCTCCATGGGCCAAAAAAATACTTTTTTTTTTTTTTTTAAGTGAAGTAGG